AAACGGTAGCTCTCTGTCTCTTCGACAGTCCGAGAAATCGGTACCTTACGAGGACCACCATTTTCAGGACTAATTTGTCAATAACTCATTAAAACAAGAATTTTATGAGTCAAAAATTTGCAAGAAATTTAGTTAACGTAACACACATATTGCCTGAAAATTCCAGCCAACTCGGTCCACGAATAACGAAAAGTGATTCCTGAGGGAGGGGTCCCCCTTAATCATCAGTTATGAATTTATTCGAAACTTTAAACTTAATTTTTCCAATTAAATAATTACTCATATAATTTGTTTTCCAATTCAAATCACATTATAAATTTAAATTTAATTGCAAAAAAAAAGTCTCGCTCAAATTATATAATAAATAGAAACGTAGTTGATGAATTCAAATTTTATTTGATTTATGTGTCTATTTTTAACTTTACAGAATGTTCTTTTTGCTTTCACTGATCAGCAGAAAATGATCTTGCCATATACAAAAAAAACATGACTATTTTTATTTTCAATGAGTTTTTATCGGAAAAGAAAAAAAAATAAAAGAAGAAAAAAATTTATATCAATGATTCAACTTTTTCATAAATATAAAGAAAAAAAAAGTATCAATATACGTTGCCATGTGCTTTTTTTTCGTGTTCTTTTCCTTTCTTCTCGGTTGCATTTGTCATTCTTCTGTTATAGCCATTTCTCATGAAGAAAAACCCAGTATGGTATTTTGTTCCTTTTATATAAAAGTTTGAAGAATCAACAACCATTTTCACATAGTGTAAAACAAAAGTTTTCAAGATACTAGTGAAATAATATTTCATTTATGTCCAATACTCGAGGTGGCCGTGGTTTCTCCTCAAATGGCCGTGGCAGTACAATTCGACCTCTTCATTTTAGAAGATCCTCTACTCTATCATCATTAATGCAAGGTATGAATGATTCAACTCCATCACCACTAATGCAAGGTATGAATGATTCAACTCCATCACCACTAATGCAAGGTATGAATGATTCAACTCCATCATCAGTTAATCCTAACGTTAGTCGAACTCAACAAAATCCTCTTATTCAATCGAATTCTGGCGTTGTTAGGTTTGTATTTATTATAGAAATTTGATAAAAATGAAAAAATAATATTTGTTCAATTATTATTTTAGACATCATGGAAATAGAAATCGAGGTTCAAGTACAAGAGGTGGAGGAAAACAAACAAATTCAAATGATTATCAACAAGATTCTAGTGTGAGTAATAATGATAATAATAGACGTTCATCTGTAAGACCTAATTCTGCTGCTTCTTCTTCAGCAACTGGAAATACGTACGTTATGTTTATAAATTTGAATGAAAAATTAATTTGATAATTTTTTAGGATATCTAAAACGTCATCTCAACCTGCGATTAGATATGATACACTTACAAAATTACTTACTAAACAACCAGATGAAGTTCTGGCTGAAATGCTTCATCCTAATTTTCAATTTAAAAGATTTCTAAACGACAATCGTATGCGAACTAAATATGATTGGATATTACAAATGACAAAATTACTTGAACAAATAATAAAATGTGTTGGATCACGTGAACGTATAGTAATGATATTAGAACAATTACCTAAAACATTTTATATCGATGGTGTTTATGATGAAGTTCGTAAAACAGATTTAATTACTGATCAATTGCGTTTTGATTTTATTAAATCATTTCTTAATATATCAAATGCATTTCTTTCTATGATACCACATTCAGCAGATGATTTAACAAAAATATTTGAACGTATTGAATTACAATTTACTAAAATTCCAATGAAATCATCTGTAAGATAAAGAAATTTGATTATTCTTTTTTCAATCTTATAATTCTTATCTTGCAGGAACATGAAGAAACAAAAACAATACTCGATGAAGTACTTGAACGAGTTAATGAAATAGATCGTCGAAAACAAAAAAATCGGCAATTAAAAACAAAAAATACTACTACAAATGCTACTCTGACTACTACTACCAATCTTATTGAATTCGATGATATCAAACCTCCGCCAGATGATTATCGTCAATTACAAATTGTACCTGGTGTAATAGAAATTTTATCTGATAAAAAGACGTATCTTCGGCAAAATATTGTTAATGGTATTTATACAGATCCACAACATTATCTTGATGTAAGTATTGACTTATTAATTGATTCTTTTTTTTGTTTTTTGCTTCAAAATTGATTTTTTTCCCTTAAGATTCATTTTCGTCTTTTACGTGAAGATTTTGTTGGTCCATTACGTGACGGTATTGAACAATATTTATCTAAAGCTGAAGGTAAAAATTTTAATATACGAATTTATGAAAATGTTCGGTCACTTGGTCCACGATTAAGTCCACGAAATGGTATTGTTTATGATTTATATTTGGATTCTAAAATGGCATCGAGAATTTCATGGGCTAATAGTCGACGATTAATTTATGGCAATTTACTTGTTCTTACTTATGATCAATTTCAATCATGTGCATTTGTTACTGTTGAAGATCGGTCAAGAATTGAAAAAGAGTTTATTATATCGGTAAGGAATAAGGGCGAATGAGACTATATTCCATCCCCTTTCCTCCTCCATGAATTAGAGATTTTTGTGTTTGAATCGAGTCACAGAGAGTCTCTGATCTTATTTCACCGACCACAATGACAATAAAGGGCATTAGGCTTTTTGAAATCTGGGGAAAACCAGGGATTCCACAACACTTGTTCTCCTGCATTTTATTTGCAGCATAACTAGATGCATTAATTCAAGTATGTTCCTCATGAATATAATATTTAAAATGATAGAATTGTATTCCCCGTAGGCTACAGCAAGCTTAATGTGGTCACCTATAGGGTTCTCTGGCTAAGCCATCCTAGCCTTGATCTTAAATTATAAGTAGATTCTGTTCAATAAACAACTTTTTCTTACTCAAAATTATGAGCTTTAATCGAATCTAAACAAGAAAAAAACAGTTGAAGTCAAAGTAAACAATAAGCTAGCGATCCCGGGCTACAATACGTGTTTGAAGGTCTACGCTTAGTTGCACTCATTCAGATTATAAGTGCAGCCGATGTTGCTTCAACGTGAAAATTGGTTACAACAGGTATTCTTTTTGAGGTCTATCTAATGGCATTTTCAAAAAAAAATCGAAAAAAGTGTATATCACGGTTTTCCAGAAGGCTAGACGAGATTCCGAGGGAAATCGTTAGCGCGCTAATATGTTCCGTATAACCAAAAACCAATCTATCCAAGTTTTTGATAATTTTTAATTGATCTCGTCATTCAGAAAGACAAGAACTTGTGTATCCTGCATCGTGTATTTCTTAGCATGAAGCACTACTGATGCACAATTTTTTTTCGATTTATTTCAACATGCTATTAGATAGAGTTCAATAGTTTACCCATTCTCATAAACCTTCGTGCTGAAACAGCATCGCTGTCACAAATATACAGGGTGAACATTATCATGAATATATTGTGAAACACGCATTGTGATCTGGAATCATTAGTTTTTCATTTAATTTGACTTCAGCTGGTTTTTCCTTGCTCGGATTAGGATAGAATTCATGATTTTAAGTAAAAAAAAAAGCTGTTTTTTGAAAACGACTCACTTGTAATTTAAGACCAAAGCTAGATTGGCTTAGCCAGAGAATCCTATGAATGAGGAAATTGAGCTTGCTATTGTTCATAGAGAATATAATTCTATTCATTCTAAATATCATATGCGTGATTAGCATACACGAATTGATATATCTAGGTGTGGTACGATAAAAATGCAAAAAAAAAATGTTTTCTGGAATGCTTGAGTATTGCTACAGATTTCAAAAACTCTGATGTTACTTATCGCTACTGTGGCTAGTGAAATATGATCAAACACCCTTCTTGATCTTATCCACTCTCGTTATTTCATTTCATTTTATTTCTTTTGGTTTTTATTAAATTAGGTAAAAACATTAGAAAATTTAAATATGACTGAACAAAGACAAAGTGATCTTGATGAAATTGATTTTTCATATGCATTAACAATGATTGAAACAATGACATATTTTGAAGCTTATCGTCCAGTTCTTACTGCCTTACAATCAATTAATATTGATGAATCATCATTTCCTCTAGCACCATTTCTGCTTAAATTAACTAATGAAAAAATTCCACCTGATTATATAACACCAACAACAACATATGATTTTACTCCACTTCTTGTTGATCCTAATTCAGATGTAAAAACAAGTGTTATTAATCCTGACGTATTATCAATACGTCATACTGCAAAACGAATTTCTCTCACTCAACCAGTTACTAGTAAAGAATTTCGAATTACTTATAGACAATCCAATCAGGTAGCAAACAAATTTAAATCTGTTTCATTACTTGATGCAAATCAATGGCCAACAAGTGATGAATTACATCTTAATCCAAAACAACGAGAAGCTTTAATTTTAGCTTTGACACATAAAGTTGCACTTATTCAAGGACGTAAGTAAAATTAATATAAATAACAATGTTTCTTTTTCTAAGT